AGTTCAGTTCAGTCACTCAGTCATATCCGACTCTTTGCGACCTCATGGACTGCAGAACACCAGGCTTCCCTGTCCATCCCCAATTCCCAGAGCTTGCTCGAAACTCAAGTCTGTAGAATCTGTTAATATTCTGAGTATTAAAGAGAATGGTGTTCTTAAGGGGAAGATGCATGGTAGCTATCAAGGACTCCAGATGTTTCAGGAAAACACACACAGAATAGGGGGAATTCCCTGCCAGTCAGCTGAAACTACTGAGCCCAAGGGCTGCAACTATCAAAGCCCGCATGCCTAGAGCCTGTGCTGTGCAAGAAGAAAAGGCACCGCAATGAGAAGCCTGTGCAGACGACTAGAAAGTAGCCCCTGCTTGCCACAACTAGAGAAAGTCCACGCACAGCAACAAAGACCCAGATCATTAAAAACCATAAATAAATAAAATTTTAAAAACTATAAAGGAGGGGGAAGCACTTTTTTTTTAACAGAAAACAGCCAAGAAATAACAGAGCTGTGAGGAGAATTTTTGTAGAAAGTTCACTTATTCAATTTTTATAACTCCAAATTAAATGACTAGGCCAACAATCATCAACCATTAGGTGACAGGGGAAAATGTACCTTTTCAATGAAGAAATCCAATGGACACCACACTAAACAAGTAAATTTAGCATTGTAAACAGTGGGGCAAACATCTGGAAATCCTCACCACCTTATTAATAGATCACTAGAAACAGGAGAACCAGAATTCTGTCTTTCCTGTGCAATGCAATGTAAATTACATACTACCATCTATGAAGTATTTGTGCCAAAAATACTGACCCAAACTTAATTAATTCTCTCTAGATCTAACTTTCAATTTATAGGAAATTTAAAAATAGAGAAACAAGTTAAATGACATTTTTAGCATTCAGTTAGAAAATCCCAAATACAGCATATTCTTTAGAAGTCCATGCCAGAAACAACGTTAACTGAAAGTGAAAGTGAAGTCGCTCTGTCGTGTCCAACTCTGTAGCCCACCAGGCTCCTCTGTCCATGGGATTCTCCAGGCAAGAATACTGGAGTGGGCTACCATTTCCTTCTCCAGGGGATCTTCCCAACCCAGGGTTTACATTAACTGACTAAAGCATAATAAAGGGAATTGTTTTTATATAGTTTCACCTGGAGGCTAGTTTATAATAAAAATATATAAAGTGTAGAAAAATGGCATTAGTTTAAAGAGGTATTTAGGGAACAAATAGCATGATATCAGCATTTAATTTCAACTGGTTGTTGAGGGGAGAGGTATGCTGAAAAGCAAAATGGTCAAAATGTTAGTAACAGATAAATCTAAATGAAAGGCAATAGGTGTTCACTGCATTCTTCTTTCAGCTTTTCTGGATGTTTGCAATTTATCCTAACACACAAAGAAAAAAAGTTACCAGAATATCCTACACACAAATAAAGGGAAATTGCTCCTTAACCAAATCTTACTAGTGCAGAAAGTAAAAAGAGCAGGTGGCTTTATAACAAAGTCAGCCTTAAAGCACAGCTGTGCATTTGTCAACCCACCCAAGGACCCGCTTGAAAGGTAAGGCATAGTGTCAGGTGCTAGCGTAACAGAGGCAGTCACACAGACCTTAGGTTAAACAGAGGCACAGTTGAAAATAAACAAATATTCACTGAAGACCTCACTAATGGGGCAAGATGTAGCTGGACTTTGAGAAATGGACAGGATATGAAGTATGAAAGGAGGGGGATGGGCAAACACGTCACCAGTAAGGGCAAAGGAGCAGAAATAAACCCAGTCTGTGTGAAGTACAGATCTTAGGAGAGTCATGATGAGGATTTTTGTAGAAAAACCATTCACTCAATTTTTATAATGTTTTAGGCTTTATGAGCACAAAAAAAAAATATAAGGCACTGTAGTATCTGCCTTCTAAGAGCTGACAAATTAGTGGAGAAGTTATGCTCCAATCAAAATACATTAAATAGGACTTCTCTGGTGGTCCAGTGGTTGGGAATCGGCCTGCCAATTCAGGGGACCCGGGTTCCATCCCTGGTCCCAGAAGATGCTACACGCCATGAGAAAACTGAGCCCTTGTGCCACAACTGAAGCCCGCGCAGCCGAGAGCCCACTGCTTTGCAAACCACAGCCAGAGAAAACCCTCGTGCCCAGAGCAGCCAAAAATAATTGGATAAAGTTAAATTTTAAAAATACATTAAGAAGAAGTATACACAAAACTCTTTAATTAAACACAGGGAAGGGAGTACTTACTTTACCAAAGGAATGAGATTGATCCAATCTTTGTTTCCAACAAAGACATTTGAGTTAATTTTTAAAAAGTAAAAATGGGGAAGGCAGAAATGGACAAAATGGATGAAGGGGATCAAAATATACAAATTTCCAATTCTAAAGTAAGTTAAACATAGCAACTACAGTTAACACTATATTGCATATTGAAATTTTCTAAATGAGTAGATCTTAAAAGTTCTCATAACAAAAAGAAAGTATAACTGTATGGTGATGAACTTATTGTGGTGATCATTCTGCAATATATACTAATAGTGAAGCATTACTGTACCTATGTACACCTGAAACTAACAACTCAATTTAAAAAAAAAAAAAGGACTTCATCAAATTCAAGTCACAAAAGAAAAATGCCAAAATTTACTGAATGCTTACTATGTACTTTTTTTACCTTGGAGATAATACTATAACTAACATTTTTAAACTGAAGTTCAGCATGTAAGTGACCAAATGTAAAAAAGCTAGATAGTGGAGAGACTAACCAGTAGACAGACCTTCAAACCTAGGTCTATCTACTGCTAAAACCCATAGCCTTTCCAATAAATACTACCTAGATCTTAGAAAATAACAAGCACTCAAATTATGATTATAAGGTACAAAACAAACATTATAAAGTCAGTCACTAGTAAAAAATACTAAAATGTTCTAAGGCAGAAAGGATGAGAATAAAAATATTTTCCAATACAATGCATATATGAGTATCAGAGAAATTTTCACTAATCTAAAAGAAAAAAAAAATCTCTTAAAAGCAGAAGTTACAACACAAATAAAATCCTGGAATAATGTTTGGCAGAAAACTAGGACAACTAGAATCTTAAAAAACAAATCTGGAATGCTTAAAAAACTGGTGAGCTAGACAACTAAATATGATTTGATAATGAAGATTTCTAATCTGTGGGCTCTAATTAATACTACTTTAATGTAAAAGTCCCATCTTCTGCTAAGCAACCTCAAAAGGATAACATAAATACATTCTTAGGTGAAAAGTTTTCACTAATATCTTTGTCAATATATTTGTGACAGTTATAAAACTTTACATTGCCTTACTTTCTTTTTATTTTTGTTTTTCCGTTTATTTTTATTAGTTGGAGGCTAATTACATCATTACAGTAGTTTTTGTCATACATTGAAATGAATTAGCCATGGATTTACATGTATTCCCCATCCCGGTCCCCTCTGCCTTACTTTCTTATTCTGAAATATGAAATAGTTTCAGCAACAATTAACATTTTTCCCTAAGTAGTGCGAAAAGTATACAGAACTTGTTACTTAGCATACAAGAGCTCTGAATAAGCACCTTAAATGGTTACTAGAAGTGTAATTAAAGCCTCAGGTCAGGGTAAAATTGATGGCAATACCTGCGTTTTAATATTTTTCACCAACCAAAGAATGCAAGTTAAGCCATCAACTTCAGAGATAAGGATTTATCTTTTTTCTAAAGCACTGTGATTTAAGGCCAACTTTCTACTAAAATTCCTCCTCCAAATACCAAAGTTAAAAATTTTTCTCTAAACTTCAAGAAAAAGGCCAAATACAGAACGTAAGGCCTCAACATAAATACAAATCGATACAGTATTTTGTCTTCTTCTAAGCAAGGAAAGCAGTTTAAAAGTGTAAAAGTACTTTATGGTAATAAGAGAGGCCAAATGCAATTAAGATTAGCGGGAAAAAATGCCATCGGGGAACAATGAACAGTTTCTGTTTAAAAGTTTTTGTTTGAACTAAATAGGTCTACCTCTGCATCACATTCACAGGCAAAAATACTGCGTGCACTAATCTCCAGAGGGTACTTAAAAGTTCACTCAGGCTTCGTAACAGTCCTCACAGTCCTTTTTGTTCATATTCTAGTCTTCCAAAGTTCCCCTAACACTCAACATAATGTCATCTGAGTAGAAAATACTTCAAATCATTCATGACAGGTTTTCTAGAAATAATCCATGTTTTTCTGATTTGATTTAAACAGGTCCAATTACCGAATTCCCTATCGACCCGCCTCCTTCTCCCTTCTCCGGAAGAACCACCAATTACAAGGGTTTACATGGACATATCAACAGTTTTTACATTTCCTAAAAAAAAAAGCCTTCTCTAATCCTGAGTATCTAACTGCCAGAACTCAAAATCAGAAATACACAGGGAGCTACTAATGGCCACTTGCAGAGAGCACGATCTAAACCAAACAAAACAGTAATAAAGCTATTCCAAAGGAGCAGGAGCAGAGGTTTTTTGCCTACCTAGCTGTGGACTTATACCTGTTAAAATTACAGACTTCAGGTCACGATAAAAACGAGGCTAAACCTTCGCCGTTTTACAGGTTTCTATTAACTAACTTCCCATGACCTCTTCAATCAACCACTCAAACCATTCAACTCTCGGCCCAACCCCTTCCACTCCCGCCCCCAATTTCAGTTTTAAGGCGCTTCACTCCTCCAAACTTCAGTGTTCTCCGCGGCCTACCCTACCTACGTCTTCGCGTCGCCACAGGTCCCAAGTCAGGGCCTTAGCCTTGCCATGTCCGCCATTCCCGGGATGCCTCAAGCTGCTAGCCCCCTCCCGTAAGGCCCAAACCCGCCTCAAAGAGAGTTGGGAGGTCTATCCTCCCAACTCTTCCAACTCGTCCACAGGCACCCCTGAGGTCCCCAAAGCACGCAACGGCCGAGCATGAAAATGGCGGAGTGCGGCCGCCTGCGGCAGGTGAGCGGTCCCATGCCGCCGCCGCACTCACCCTCAGGCGCTGATCAGAGGTCCTAATGACTGGCGAGCGATATGTTCGTCTTCACAGTCAGGAATGTCTCTCCCGTCGGGCCCCCCCCCTCCTCCCCTCTCAATCCCACTCCTCCAAAAGAGCAGCCGCCATCTTCCCCTATGAGCCACCGAGCGCACGTCCGTATGTCATCACGCACCGGCGTACGCCTCTACGTCACGCGCGCCCAAGCCAAAGGACTCCGTAGGGCTCTCTGCGCATGTGTTTAGCTGAGAGGCGGGGCCTGACCGGAACTTCACGCGGCCTCTCGGAGCGACTTCTTTGTTAAGGATGAGAAGAGGTCCTCACGCCTTGGAGAGAAGGGATCTGGGGAGGTGGTTGTGAGGCTGCCAGGGTTAATACCATGACAGGCGGCCTGGACCTAAGTTTTTGCTTCCCCCGAAATGATAAGATTCCCTACCCCCATCAGGTAACCTGAAGCCAGCCAATATGCTCTCAGTAAGAAACAAAGGAAGAGCTGAAAGGCCCGCGAAAGTTGCACCAATAGAATTGCTTTGCAGACATGTAACCAATCCGCTTAAGCCAGCTACTAACCTCTTATGCATACCTTATAAATTTGGATAACAGCCTTTGTTCAGGGCTTTTCTGACCTTGCGCCACTGTGTTGGTCGCAGCAGAAAGCCCTGACTCGAGCCAGAAATAAAACTTCCAATGGGTTGAGTCTTGGTTTCAATGCTCCCCCTGGCTGACCACCTTAGTTTCCACCCTCCTGGGCCCACTTATAGTGCTATTATTAACACTCACGTTTGGCCCTTGTATTTTAAACTGGCTAATGTCATTTATTAAAGAACGTCTAAATACCATTCAGATTACGGTATTGAGGCAACAATATCAGATGTTAGCCCAGGATGAAGAGAAACATTCCTCTACAGGAACAAGACGACAGGGGGGAATGTGAGGCTGCCAGGGTTAATACCATGACAGGCGGCCTGGACCTAAGTTTTTGCTTCCCCCGAAATGATAAGATTCCCTACCCCCATCAGGTAATCTGAAGCCAGCCAATATGCGCCCAGTAAGAAACAAAGGAAGAGCTGAAAAGCCCGCGAAAGTTTGTACCAATAAAATTGCTTTGCAAACATGTAACCAATCCGCTTAAGCCAGCTACTAACCTCTTATGCATACCTTATAAATTTGGATAACAGCCTCTGCTCAGGGCTTTTCTGACCTTGCGCCACTGTGTTGGTTGCAGCAGAAAGCCCTGACTCGAGTCAGTAATAAAACTTCCCTTTTTGTAAATTGCATTGTCTTGGAAGTTCTCTCTTCCCACTCAGGGATTCGGACATTGGGCAGAACATTTGGGGGCTCGTCCGGAATCCCTTGACGGGGGAAAGCGAACATTTCCAGGACAGAAGGGAAGGATAGATAAAAACACCGGTGCTTAGGCAGAACAGTAAAGTCCAGTGTAAATCCGAGGCCCTGCTGGGAAACAGGAAGGTATCTGGCGCTGTAGAGGGGAGCGAGCTGGCGTAAGGCCGAGGCCAGCGGACGCGCTGGGAGGCAGCTGACTCTGCGGAAAGGCTTTGTATAAAGGGGGAACGGATTAAACGTTCCAGCCGGCGTAAGGCCGAGGCCAGCGGACGCGCTGGAAGGCAGCCGATTCTGTGGGAAAGGAAGTTACCCCAAGTCTGGTGAACAGTGGATGCCATTCAGTAAGGTGAACCTGCTACCAGGAGGCAAGAGAATTCAGGGGGCCCGAAAACCCAGCGCTGTGTTGTCAGCCGACGTTCCTTTGTCCGTGTGTTTGTCTACGCCCCTCCGTGTTTGTGTGTGTGTGCCGGCATTGTCTCTGGTCTCGTTCCCTTCTGATACATCGTTCTTTTCTCTCTTCTGACTTATTCTCCTTCTCTTCTTCTCTGATCTGCCCTCAACTCCTTTTTCTTTTCGGGAGTTTCAGTGAACAGGCGAACAGTTGTGGGGGCAATTGATGAGTCCCGGCCAGGGCTACACTCTGGCGGACTCTGAAGGCCCTACAATAAGTGAGCCTCAGTAACTAGAGCCCGA